CAGGGAAACGGCCTTCAACTGGGCAGGCTAGGGGCCACACCGGAGGAAGAAACGGCCCCCGGGGAACACCGGGGAGGGCGCCTTGAGGGTGCGGACCCCGCTGGGAAAGAAGTGTCTCTGCGGAGGGGAGCGGAGACCCGGAACCGTGGCTGGAGAGGGGCCGCGAGGGGGCGCTGTGGAGTCTAAGGCTTTCGCACGCGGCCGGGGGCGGGTGGCCGGAGAGGCTGCTGGTGCGGGGAGGAGTGGCTGCTGTGGGCCCAGGACGCAGGACTTAGCACAGCTTTTCCTCACTGCAGGAACAGACCTGACGTCTCAGGAACAGGCAGCCGGTCGATTAATCTGAGGGAAGATGAGGACTTTCTATCACTGTCTCATCACTTTCTCGTTTCTCAGTGAAACCAGAAGGATAAGGCTGGGAAGGGGCCTTTCAAGTTGGCAGAAGGAGGAGGACCCCTTGGGGTGTGGGAGAGAATCCCTGGAGAAAGCAGAGTCAGCAAGGGCCGGGGTGGGGCTTGGGCCGGGGTCTCGTCACGCAGTGTCCCTGTGTGGCGTCCGCGTCCACTGAATGGCCCCGGGGCGGCTCACACCTCGGCCACCCTAACCCTCCTGCCAGTCCTCGGCTCTTTGGCTCCCGCCCTGACCCAGCACTCCCCTCTGACAACGGCGTCCGCTGCTCCCCCGCTTCTTTCAACCCTCCTCTCTCCTTGCCTCCCATCCGTTCACCTTCCAAATTCTGGGGTGCGGCCCATAGCCCCCAGGAAGCACCCCAGAGTCTCCGCTGATGACGGCATGTGGCCACGCATCCTGCTCCAAGCCCCGCCCCTCTCCAGGGTCTTGCCATGTCCCCCCCTAAATCATGCCTCTGCCACTGTGTTTCAGTGGTGCAGGAGCTACGGGGGATTTTTTCTCATATAATTGAGGTTTAATTTTAAAAGCACTCAAGGGCACCAGTGGCTCCGTGGAGGATTCGAAAGACCCCATGCCTCGCCCCCAAAGCGCCCAGAGCTCAACCTTCTTGTTGCTGTGCGGCGATCCCCTGCATTGTGGACACGCGTTGAGCTTCACGTAGATGGCCCTGTGCACACTCCAGCTGCCATGCCACTGCACGCAGCATGAGTCCTTTGTTGTCACCACTTGTCCTGATCTGTCACGTGACCACTTATCCTTCGTTCCACGGTGGTACAGGCTCCGCTGTGAACCCAGTGTAGTCCTCGTGGGTCAGGAGCGCAGCACCCTCCTGACGCTGTGCCCATCTGGAGGGATTTCAGTATCTTGTGTTGGCTTTAATTTGCATTCCCCTGACTACCTGAAGTGTGGGAGTTTTCATGCGTTCCTCCCCTCCAGTTTTCCTCTTCCTCAAGGGCCGCTCGAAACTCCCCTCCATTCTTCTCTGCCGCCTCGTTGAGCGAAGCGGTCACCCACTTTATTAGTGCAGCTCCTCCATCAGACATGTGCAGTTGCTATGTTGCCCCAACTCCATGTCGGTCTCCTGTTTATTTTGTTGTTCTTTTGATGGGAAGAAGTTCTTAACACTAATATAACCCAGCAGCACCCAACTCTCCGTTGAGCTTAGTGGTTTGTGAATCTTAGAAGTTAGTTCTTCCTCAGCTCACTGCTGTGATGATACACCTTGCCTGTTCTTTTGGGGTGTTGGGAACATAGTGTCCCATATCTACCTAAGATTTGTATGATGCTGGGTATGGTGGCACACACCTGTAATCCCAGCACAGGAAAGGCGGAGGCAGAAGGATTGACACAAATTTGAGGCCAGCCTGGGCTCCATACTGAGTTCAAGGCCAGCCTGAACTATGTATTGAGACCCTGTCTCAGAAATAAATAAATCAATCTTGTATGGTTTTGCTTTTCCACTTTACACCACTTGCAACTAATTTTTTCTGCATGATGTAAGTCAGGCATCAGGTTCATGCTCTACCTCAAACTGCCTGAAGCCAGTTACCGGCAGAGCAAGGAGCGTGCATTGTTTCTAATCAAGGACCCTGTCCAAGGTGCCTTTGTGTTAGTGGCTAAAATGTGGTTTGAAAGCTGATGTCCCCACCTGTCTTATTCCCCAGGAGCCTCTTTCTATTCTTGAATATTTGCCCTTGTAACATTTAGAAGCCACTTGTCAGGTTATGCAGATACACACAGTGGGCTTTAGACAGTGATAGCGCAGATCAGTTTGGGGCAAATATGCATCTTTGTGATATGGAGTTCCAATTCGAGACAAGATATGTGTTCAGTGATTATGGTCATTTTTAGCTTGTTTCAGTAGTTCGAAGTTTTACAAAAATCATGTGTATTTATATAACGTGTTTTCTAAAGTGTTTTGCCTTTCTTTCTTTTAGTATTCTTATAGATTAAACCCAGGAGCCCACTTTCACTGGGGCCCTGTACATTCCCAGTCCATTTTTATCACATTTATTTTTTAAATTTTGAGAAAAGGTCCTGTTAAGTTGCCCAGGCAGGCCTTGAACTCCTGGGCTCAAATAATCCTTCAGCCTCGGCCTCCCAAGTAGCTGGAATGACAAGTATGCCCCTCTGTACTTCTTTCCAATTTATATCTTTTATTTCTTTTTATCTTCTTGTGCTATCGAGACTTATTCTGCCAGCTAATACAAAGACAGACAGAAGAGTGATCACAGGGCCTCTGCCCTGTTCCTCGTGTTAAATGAAAGGCTTTCAATCTTTTATCATTAAATATGCTTGCTGTGTTCTTTAAAAAAAAACAAAACAAAAAACATCCCTTGGTCAGACTGTAAAATCCCCTCATCTTGGGTTGGGGATTTAACTCAGTGGCACCATACCTGCTTGGCAAGCACAAAGTCTTGAGTTAGATCTCCAGTGCCAAAAACAAAAACAAAAATCCCTTTGTCTTATTTTCCAGGAGTCTACACCACGAGTAGGTGATAAATCCTGTCGAATCCTTTTCTGCACTTTGGTTCACTTTTTCCTCCTGCAAGCAGCTTCCCAGCATTGAGCCAAGCTCTCCCTCCTGGCTGGCAGAGCCACTGCTGTACAGTGAGGCCTGGTTTCTGGTAACTTGCTGGTTTTGCCTAGTCTCTTTCCTTCCCTGCACTGTCCTTGTGAGGGAGCAAGGGAGGAGCTTTTCCAGAGGGCATAGGGCCAGAGCCCTCACTCGGCCCCTAGCGCCTCCCTCTGCTCTGTCCTGTCTTCCCAGGGGCCAGGCAGCCTGAGGTTGTTCAGCTTCCTCCTCCCTCTGCTTGTGATCACGGCTGCATCCACTTCTGAATTCTGTCACTTAGGTCTTGCAAGGAACCAGTTTATGCCTTAATTGATTGTCTCCAGTGTATGCTTTCTACTTCACTAATATCTACTCTTAACATCCCCTTTCATAGCTTTTGCTTTAGGTTATCTTGCTCAATTTTCAGGCTTTATCTAAAAAATAAAGAATGTTTGCAGGATAGCACTGTTCTCGTGTCAGGACCAGCAAATGCCCTGCAGGTGTTCAGAGTGTGGCCGGAGTGTGGCCCCAGCTGGCTGTGCATGTGCCCTCGCCAGTCTACCCACCTCTCCTCGGCCAAAGCCCATCTTCCTTCACAGCTTCCTCAGCACCGCCGGGTCCGCATTGCCACCACTGGCCCCAGCCTTCAGACCCCGTAAGCACAGTTTGTCATCCCCACCCAAGGAGGCCCGGGGGATCTCTCATCCCTCTGAACCTGGAGGACCCCGCCAAGCATGTCAGGAGCAGTTGGCGGCCAGACACAGGTGGATTTACAGGTGATGACCCGAGGATGCACTGCGGGGAGGGACACTGTGGGGGTGGCCACTGTGCCACATACGAAGTGTGACACGACAAGACTGCAGCTCTTAAGGGCAGAAACAGTGAGGCCAGCCCAGGGGAGGTGACAAAGCTGTGTGGACCCCAGGCCTGTGGAAGGTACCAGGAGGGGCCCAGACCAGGCCCTCTGAGTGTGATCACAGGCAATGTATGGGTCAGGGCAAGCCTGGGGGGCTCTGAAAGACCTCCAAGAAGTGACAGAAGTACCAGGCTGTGTTGCTCTGGCTGCTGCTGCAAGGAGGTCCCCAAGCACCGAGACGTGGGACCCACACGGGAGCTGCTCACAAAGCTGATCTCCTAACCCCCGGAGATGAGGCAACGAAATGCGGAAGTCCTGGCAGGCTCAGCTGCTACACAACTGGGGGTCAGAGCCCATGCATGGGGCATGTGGGCGAAGAGGGTGCAGAGGGCAACAGCCAGAGAAGTCAGGCTCCTGCTGGGTTCCTGTAAGCACAGCTGCTTGGGAGGCTGAGACAAGGAGGACTACAAATTTGAGTTAATCCTGGGGAACACAGCAAGACCCTGTCTCAAAAATGAAAAGGGTAGGGTGCAGCTCAGTGCTTCCTAGGTTCAATCCAGAGAACATCCAGGAACACAAGTCAAGGTCCTGCCTCATCTTCCTGAGCTGGGGTCTGCTGGCCAGCAGAGGCTGGGCCTATGGGAGGAGTGCACTGGGCTGGCCTGCTGGCACTGGGGCCTCCAATCCCAGATCAGAGGAAATCAATGACTTCTGGTCTGCAGCTCTGTACATGCTGTGTAATTTAGAGACAAGTGCATTCAGCAGTTATGACCCTGTGGTCCCGCAGCTCCTGAGACAAAAAGGCTTCTGTGCACAGTAGGAACTGAATTAGAATGGACCCAAATCAAGAGTACTGGAGGGAGGGCTGGGGATTTAGCTCAGTAGTTCCGCCACCTGCCTTGCAAGTGCAAGATGGAGAGTTCAATCCCTGGTACCTAAAAAAAAAAAAAAAAAAAAAAAA